ATGATGTTGCTTATTGGTCCAGTTGTGAGGATTTTTGTTTTCTTTATGTTGAGGTGTAATCCATACTGAAGGCTGTGGTCTTTGACCTTCATCAGGAAGTGCTTTCAAGTCTTCTTCACTTTCAGCAAGCAAGGTTGTGTCATCTGTGTAACACAGGTTGTTAATGAGTCTTCCTCCAATCTGATGCCCCATTTTTTTTCATATAGTCCAGTTTCTCAGATTATTTGCTCAGCATACAGATTGAATAGGTAGGATGAAAGGATACAACCCTGATGCACACCTTTCCTGACTCTAAACCACACAGTATCCCCTTGTTCTGTCCGAACAACTGCCTCTTGATCTGTGTACAGGTTCCTCATGAGCACGATTAAGTGTTCTGGAATTTCCATTCTTTTCAGTGTTATCCATAATTTGTTATGATCCACACAGTCAAATGCCTTTGCATAGTCAGTAAAACCCAGGTAAACATCTTTCTGGTATTCTCTGCTTTCAGCCAAGATCCGTCTGACATCAGCAACGATATCCCTGGTTCCATGTCTTCTTCTGAATCCGGCCTGAATTTCTGGCAGTTCCCTGTTGATATACTGCTGCAGCCGCTTTTGAATGATCTTCAGCAAAATTTTACTTGCATGTAATATTAATGCTATTGTTCGATAATTTCCACATTTGGTTGGATCACCTTTTTTTTGGCTCCATCAAACTTTAAAAGAGAATTTCTTTCGGAAACTCATGTTTTACTGTCCACAAGTATGATTCTTCTTAGAATCTTAGAATAAATTTGATGAGAATATGATTGAGAAATTCTTAAATGAATGATTTATAAGGATCAGCACAAACTTGGTTCCTGTGAGATGGAGGTTAAAGATGTCCCAAATGTCCAACTTTTCCAGACTGCTGTCCCCCTCCGTCATCTCTAACACCAACTACTCCCCTCCCCTCAGTGCTCTCCTTCCCGTCTTTGGGTTCTGTAATTCACTGCAGTGTTTCACAGAACTCACAAACCTTTATCAAGGAAATGGCTCACGTGATTGTGAAGGCTAGCAAGGCCCAAATCCATGGGTCAAGGGTAGACTTCTCCCAACCCATATTAACATATAGAGGTTAGGATTTGCAACACATAAAATAGAGGATAGTTAGGATAATTACATCAGATCACAAAATAGAGGACAATCATACAATACTGGGAATCATGGCCCAGCCAAGTTGACACATAACCCCAGCCATCACAGGTTCCATATACTTATTTTGCGTATCCCACTCAGTCATTGTGTGTGAGTCAGAAACACCTTGGCTGGAAGGGCCATATTAAGTAAGTCATTGCACTGCAGTTCTAAAACAGTGATGGGTTGCAATTTATTTGTGTATCATACTATGTAAAGAAACTTTGTCAAGGATTTCTAAATTGTGTGAGTTTGTTATATGTTTGGGTTCAGTGATTTTTAACATTGCTTTTACTTTATTTCTTGAATGATACTTTAAATAAAATCTGCTGCCATTTTATTGGAGTATAAGATGGATTGCAGTGTTGGAAATACTCAAACGAAATCATAGGAGATAAAATGCAAATGTTAAATAGTGGATCCTTTAAAAGGATCGTAAGAGTGAGATGGTATAAATACTGTAGGAAGATATCATATAAAATTGTTCTGGGATCTCCAAAGGAAAGACTACGTGCAATTTAAGGAAATAACATACACGTAGAAAGGATCCTTAGAAATCCAGTAACATACCAGCATAGGGCGGAGGATAGTTTTTATTAATACACAGGATTCTGTGATAAACCATAATTGCTGGAAGGTCAGATAAAGTAGTACAGATGTAACTAGGTGTTTCTTACCCTTAGTGTCCTTGATAACATAAGATCACATTCTCTAATAGCTCTTGTCTCTCTCACTTTCTTCTTTCTCCCTTGCCACCCCTCCTACCCCCCAGAAAAACACCACTGGTTCTCTGTTATATGAGTCTGCAGTACATTTACAGTTCTTCCCTACCAAAGAGCTATGGTAACCTCCACATAGACTGTAACTCTGATTAGCTGTCTTGAAAAATCAGGTTGTGTTCAGAAGTCCGTTGGCACTCAGTGTCCTCGCCAGCATTTCCCAGACGGTCTGAGGTGTTTACAGATACTGCGTAGTCATGTAAATTTGAGACCTGCTACCTTCGCGTTAAGCAGCTTTCTTTCCTATGAGTGCTTTCAAAGACGCTCATGTGCTAACGTGTTGGGGATCTTCTTAAGAGGGACAATAGTACGGTGTGGTGGTAAGAATTAATACAATTTTAGAAGCACTAACTTTTTTTAAATGGGAGCTATTAAGAAGATAAATAACTTTTATTTCCTTAAGTCATTTTTAGCATTTGTCATTCAGAATTGAAAACTGGAAAATGCAGGGCTTCCCCAAAGACTAGTTCACCGTGGATTCATTAACAGGTGGGAGGAGGATCTCATTGTGAATTTTGTTTCATCTTTTTCAGATCTCAGCCACAGTGGATTGGCAGATCATTATGAAAGTCCCCACTGGGGACAGCAGCCCACTTACAGAAGCGAAGCCAACTGCAGCTGGGATAAAGTGATAGTAGACAGGACTGACAAGGAGGCGGGGCCTTCCATCACAGGAGCCGAGACGGAATCTGCCTCAGAATGTACTACAGACACTGACTCTGCCTCCAACTGTGGCTCGGAGAACAGTAGCATGGCTACAGGGAGTGCCCAGGGCAACTTCACTGGACCGACAAAGAAGACAAATGGCAATAATGGCACCAACGGCGCACTCGTCCAAAGCACTTCGAATCAGAGTGCCCTTGGAGCAGGCGGAGCAAACAGTAATGGAAATTCAGCCCGAGTGTGGGGTGTAGCCACAGGCTCCAGCTCTGGCCTCGCTCACTGCTCCATCAGTGGTGGGGATGGAAAAATGGACAACATGATTGGAGATGGTAGAAGTCAGAATTGCTGGGGTGCTTCCAACTCCAATGCTGGCATTAATCTTAACCTTAACCCTAATGCCAACCCAGCTGCCTGGCCTGTACTTGGACATGAAGGAACTGTGGCAACAGGCAACCCTTCCAGTATTTGCAGTCCAGTCAGTGCCATAGGTCAAAACCAGAATGGGAACCCAACAGGCACTTTAGGTGCTTGGGGAAATTTGCTGCCGCAGGAGAGCACAGACCCACAAACGTCCACTTCTCAGAATGTGTCTTTCAGCGTACAACCTCAGAACCTTAACACTGATGGACCAAATAACACTAACCCCATGAACTCTTCACCAAACCCTATCAATGCAATGCAGACAAATGGACTGCCGAACTGGGGGATGGCTGTTGGTATGGGGGCCATCATCCCGCCCCACCTGCAAGGCCTTCCTGGTGCTAATGGATCATCAGTTTCTCAAGTCAGTGGGGGTGGTGGTGAAGGAATAAGTAATTCTGTGTGGGGACTGTCCCCAGGTAACCCTGCCACAGGAAATAGCAATTCTGGGTTCAATCAGGGGAATGGAGACACTGTGAACTCAGCATTAAGTGCTAAACAAAATGGATCCAGCAGTGCTGTGCAGAAGGAAGGGAATGGAGGAAATGCTTGGGATTCGGGACCGCCTGCTGGTCCTGGAATACTAGCTTGGGGCAGGGGCAGTGGCAACAGTGGCGTTGGTAATATCCATTCGGGAGCTTGGGGCCACCCCAGCCGCAGCACCTCCAATGGTGTGAATGGGGAATGGGGAAAGCCCCCAAACCAGCATTCCAGTAGTGACATCAATGGGAAAGGATCAACAGGGTGGGACAGTCCTAGTGTTAGCAGCCAGAATCCTGCCATGCAGCCTGGCAGTGAACAGATGAACTCCTGGGCCAAAGCTGCATCTTCCGGAACTGCCACAAGTGAAGGAAGCAGTGACACTTCTGGCCATCACAATGAAGGAAGCACTGGGAGGGAAGGAGCCGGAGAAGGCCGCAGGCGAGATAAAGGGGTTGTAGACCAAGGGCACATCCAGTTGCCAAGGAACGATCTTGACCCAAGAGTCCTGTCTAACACTGGTTGGGGACAGACTCCTGTAAAGCAAAACACTGCCTGGGAATTTGAAGAATCCCCTAGGTCTGAGAGGAAAAATGACAATGGGACAGAGGCCTGGGGTTGTGCAGCTACTCAGCCTTCAAACTCAGGGGGCAAGAACGATGGGTCCATCATGAACAGTACAAATACCTCTTCAGTATCTGGGTGGGTCAGCTCACCCCCTGCTGCTGTGCCAGCAAACACAGGTTGGGGAGACAGCAACAACAAAGCGCCAAACGGCCCAGGGGTTTGGGGGGACTCGATAAGCTCTACTGCTGTTAATAATGCTGCTGCCGCCAAGAGTGGCCACGCTTGGAGTGGGACCGTCAGTCAGGAGGACAAGTCACCCACCTGGGGTGAGCCTCAGAAACCCAAATCTCAGAACTGGGGAGATGGACAGAAATCCAGTCCAGCCTGGAGTGCAGGAGGGGGTGACTGGGCAGACTCGGCGTCTGTCCTCGGACACCTCGGGGATGGGAAGAAAAATGGGTCTGGCTGGGATGCTGACAACAATAGATCAGGGTCGGGTTGGAACGATGCTACGAGGTCTGGGACCAGCGGATGGGGCAATGGCACAAATGCAAAGGTTAATCCAGGTACAAACTGGGGGGAGTCTTTAAAGCCTAGCCCCCAGCAGAACTGGGCTAACAAACCCCAAGACATCAATGTGAGTAACTGGGGAGGAGCTGCTTCTGTTAAACAGACAGGAACAGGGTGGATTGGGGGGCCAGTGCCAGTCAAGCAGAAGGATAGCAGTGAGGCCACTGGCTGGGAAGAACCTTCTCCACCCTCCATTCGACGCAAAATGGAAATTGATGATGGTACCTCAGCTTGGGGCGACCCAAGCAATTACAACAATAAAACTGTAAACATGTGGGACAGAAACAACCCGGTCATCCAGAGCAGTACCAGCACCAGTACCACCACCACCACCACCGCCAGTAACAACCCAAACATGGTGGAGACACCCCCATCGCACCAGGCTAGCACTCAGCTTAACCGATCGCCACTGCTTGGCTCAGGTAGGGAAGGTGTCTTCTGTTTCCTTACGAGAGAAAAACAGTTTATTCTTGTAACATGTACATGAGTATTCTGACTAGTGTTTTTATAGCAAATAACATTAAATGATTAAAGCACCCTTTAGCCCTATAGTATTGTATTTAAATATTATCCAGAGAGAGTAAGGCAGGATTCGCTAATAACTTTCTACCCAATAAAAAGAAATATAAAGCACCCTCAGTAGAACAAGGTTTTCTAACTTGTTGGTCCTTTTTCCTTGTTCACATAATCAAAGGATAATTGATTTTGAATTGTATTTACATTTTGTAGTGTCAACGTAACTTTGTTTTTAATTGGAAAATAGTCAGCGTCATCCCAGTGTCTTTATTTGTCCGTGTTCTTTATTGGCTATAACTTATATATAACTGTTGGATCGTACACATCTTTTTATAGAACTAACTTAAATTTCTTTTCGTTTTTAACCTCATTCTTCTGAGTATTTTTTAATGTTACTTCCTTGTGCCCAGAACTTACGCCATTACTGTAAGTATGGTTTTACCGGTGGATAGTTAAGACTGTATCCTCCCTCATTCCTAAAATCATACTCCTGGTAATGCAGTCTAAGTTTCAGTTCGTCTTTTTGAGCCATACCACACTATTTTTCTCAAGTCGAGCTTAAAATCGGAAGTCTTGTCTTTTTTTTTTGGGCCACTCTTTAGCTGTTTCTCCCCCAGAACTGTTCTCAGGCGGTTTGTTACTTGGTCCCAAGTGTAGAAATCTTTCCTGGGAAAACTTTTACGTTCAGACCCTCCAGCCTGTTGAGAGCTTTTTGAGCCCTGATTCTTGTAATCAGCAAGTTAGGTACTCCTTCCGGTTTCGCCATCTCTGAATTTTGCAGACAAGCCATAGGGAGAAGGCTGAAGATATAGTCCCTTCTCCGTGGCCATTTACTCAGCCATCGTGTGTATGGAACCTAACCTGCATCCAGAACCCTGCCTGCACAGGAGTCGTTTGTAACTTCCAGCCTCTGTAGCACAGAAAGGCTCAGAAACGGCAGTAGAATGGATGCTGACTGCCAGTCGACTATCACGTACAGTCAGCCTGGTTAATAAATTGTTCTGACCAGTCAAACAGCGTTGAAGCAGATGTGACAGGAGAATCTATAACCACCATGTACCAAAAGCTGTTTGGAATCCTGGTTGGCTCTGGTTACTCCCTTCCTCTGCCTCTGACCCAGCTCCACTTGGAGCCTCCAAGCAGCCTCAATCCCATGATTTATGATCACCCAACAAAGCCCTAACATTTGTATGGTTTCTCATGCTCTCATACCCATCTGCGTGAGTGCTTCTAGAAACACTACCTTTGTCCTTTTATTTGACCTTCACTGATTCAAAATATATTTATTGAACCCCCATCGTGTGCTAGGCATACTGCTAGATGCTCAGGACGTAACAATGAAGAAGACAGAAATTGTCCGCTTTGAAACTCTGTACAGAAGCCATCTATCCAGGGTATTACAATGCGGTACAAAGCAATCATGGCCAGTGTCTCAGTTCTCTAGTGCTGCTATAACAGAAATACCACAAGTGGGTGGCTTTAACTGACAGAAATTTATTTTCTCACAGTTCAGGAGGCCAGAAGTCCGAATTCAGGGTGCCGGCTTTAGGGGAAGGCTTTCTGTCTCTATTGGCTTTGGGGGAAGATTCTTGTCTCTTCTTCAGCTTCTGTTCCTTGGCTCCTTGGTGGTCTTCATGTGGCACAGCACCTGTCTTCTCCCATGTCTGCTTGCTTGCTGGCACTTAATTTGCTCCTTTTTATCTCAAAAGAGATTGACTCAAGACAGACTCTACCCTAATACTGCCTTATTAACATAACAAAAAAGCTGTTCCCAAATGTGATTATAACCACATGTATAGGTGTTAGGATTTACAACATACATTTTTGGGGGACACAGTTCAATCCGTAACAGCCTGGAAAGTATGGCGGAAGACTGGAACCTAACCAGGGTTTTAATTTGGTCATGGGGGACCAGAGGTGAGCAGGGAACACATCTCAGAAGCAGTCCAGAAGACTGTTTCATGTAGAAAGACTACCAAATCGGAAGGCCTAGAGGCAAAGAAAAAGTTGCGCATTTGACGAACAAAGGGAAGTTCAGCATGTTGGAGGCTGGGGTAAGTGGTGGGGTGATGGTGGAAGGCCTTGCAGAGAGAAGCAGCTGGAGAGAGAAGCCAGGGCAAGATCCTCTGGCGTCTTTGAGGCCATATGAAGGAGCTGGATTGTGTTCAGAGGTCCGGGAAGCCTCTGAACAGTTTTAAGCAGAGTGAATAATCAGATGTCTTAGTTATCTAGTGCTGCTGTAACAGAAATATCACAAATGGATGGCTTTAACAAAGAGAAATTTATTTCCTCACAGTAAAGTAGGCTTAAAGTTCAAATTCAGGGTGTCAGCTCTAGGGGAAGGCTTTTTCTCTCTGTTGGTTCTGGAGGAAGGTCCTTCTCATCAATCTTCCCCTGGACTAAGAGCTTCTCCGCGAGGAACCCGGGATCCGAAGGACACGCTTTGCTCCCAGCACTGCTTTCTTGGTGGTATGCGGTTCCCCTGTCTCTCTGCTTGTTTCTTGCCGCTTTCTGTCTTTTATGTCCCAGAAGAAACCGGCTCAAGACACAGTCCAATCCTGCAGATTGAGTCCTGCTTCATCAACACAACTGCTGCCCATCCCCCGTCATCGACTTCATGGAGGCAGGATTTACAACACATAGGAAAACCGCATCAGATGACAGAATGATGGGCAATCACACAATACCGGGAATCATGGCCCAGCCAAACTGATACACACATTTTGGGGGGACACAATTCAATCCATGACATCAGACTTAGTTGTTTTGGAATCATTTATTTATTATAAAATGAATTACGAAAGGATCAGTGGGAAGCAAAGCTGGAGAAGAGGATCTGAGCCAGGCCAATGTTTTGGCGATGATGATGGTGTCCTGGGTTGGATTTTGGCAGGAGATGGAGTCGAAAGACTTTTGACAGCAAGTTGTGATACCTGGATGTTGACACGAAGACAGTTCAGGCTCGGGCAAGTGGGCAGACAGTGTGTCATTAACTGACTTATCCAGGAGCACAGAATCCAGACAGGCCCAATGGAGATGGGAAAGTGTTGCCTGTCGAAGTTCACAGGAACCTGACTGTGTTTGCCCAGGAGCAGTGGCTCAGTGTTCACTAATTCAGTGTTTGCTGGGACTTTGTACAGTATAACTACTGTGGATAACAAGAATCAACTGCACATACATTGTGTTTTCCTACATTTTTCTATCGTAAACTTTCTCCAGCATTTTTTGAATTCTTCACTCTAGAGTGGTGCTCATTCATCCTCAACTGCTGTCAGCTACATACTTAGTTGACTGTCTTCCTGTTTAACCATTCATGTTTTAATGAAAATGCCTGTTCCGCAAGGTCAACAACAAACCATGACTTGTGTTTGCAAGTAGGCAGTGAACCATTGCTAAGAACTTGCTCTACAGTCCTCCAGCTGTGCGTGTGCTCAGTTTATCATTCTTCAGCCTCGGTCATCATTTCTCTAACTGGATTGGAAGCCCCACAAACCAAAAAAAAAACCAAACCCGTTGCTGTCCAGTTGATTCCAACTCATAGTGACCCTATAGGACAGAGTAGAACTACCCCATAGGGTTTCCAGGGAGCAGCTGGTGGATTGGAACTGCTGACCTTTTGGTTAGCAGCCGAGAGCTTAACCACTGCACCAGCAGGGCTCCAAGTCCCACAAAGGTGATGGTAATACAACAGTGTAGGACAAGATGGCTGTATACCCAGCGTGTGTGGTTTATCTGTGCTAGATGTTCAGCCATCATCATTTTCTACAGGTTAAGTATTACTGTCCTCACATCTGGAACGCTAACGGCAGAAAGGCAAGGAAATAGTTTCTCCCAGCCTCCGCAGTACAGAGAGGCATACCAGGAAGGCGACGGAATGGATACTGAGCGTCAGTCCGCCAGTTGAGTAGTTGGAGAGCACGAACAAGGCCACTGGGTGCAGTGGGTAAAAGAGTGGCTGCAAGCCATCATGTGCATGCTGCTTATTAGTGACGAGGCTACTGTTGTTGTCAAGCGTTAACTGGTAGGTGATTTCCTGTTTTTGTTGCTGTTAGGTGCTATCGACTCCATTCTGACTCGTAGCAACCCTATGTAACAGAGTAGAACTGCTCCACAGGGTTTTCTAGGCTGTAATCTTTACAGGAGCAGATCACCAGGTCTTTTTCCCACAGAGCCACTGGGTGGGTTCAAACCACTAACCTTTTGGTTAGCAGACTAGTGCTTAACTGTTGCATCACCAGGACTCCTAATCCCTATTTTAGTAACTCAGTACTAGATACTTTAGCAGGTGACAATGAATTTTGCTAATCTCCTGGGATTATAGTCAGTCCCATTTTCCACAGGACTAAGCTCTAGTATCAGTAGGTAAACTCTTGGCAACTTTTGAGATGGAGTGCATCTTAACTATAGTTGGAAAAAGCATTTCTCAGTCTTACTTGTTGCTTGTGATGGACCAAAGTCTCCTTAACATTTGAGCTCAATTCAAATGTCTTTTTGAATGAATATTACCGATAGGTCCATTGCAAGTCATCGAGGTAGGGTTTAGTATCTGTCATCCCCATTTCTCAGAAAGGAGCAGATGAACTCAGTTTTCATCTTCATCCAGTCCGCTTTTTGCAGTGTTTACTCAATGAGTGCGTTTATATATAATTTCCACAGCATCGCACTCAGGCTTTGTACGAAGTCATCGACTGTTCTGGTTAACCAGTCCTCGTGGGCTGGCTCCATCCTGCTCCAGTCTGTCCTCACTGTGGACCTCAGCCATCTTTGGACACGCAGTTCTCAAAAGAGAAATGACGGGGCACCTCTGCTCAGCAGTGGCACAGCCCAGGGACATGACTGCCCCTGAGGGCAAGAGGCGAGAGAGACTTCTCCACAGGAAGGGACAAGTAATGGAGCGATGTAGGCC